CCAGGTGTAAACCAACTTGTAATTGTTACATAGTCAATAGTCCTAAATTCAAATACAGTAATGATACATGCATATAAATAGGATAATCATATTCAGCAGATCACAAACTTTCCAATGATCTCTCAGCAGACCCATCTTGCATAATATACATCTTAGATATGCTATAACCATATTATAACATTATTTCTATGAAGAATATGGGGTATAGTGTTTCACACACACATCCATAGATAGATAGATAGATAGTTATGAATACAGACACAACCCAGGTGCTCAGAAACACACACTCTAAGATTCTCTGCCACTGTATGGAAAATTCAAATGAAGAAACCAATGACTTAATCCTGGTCCCATTGCAGACTGGGGCACAATGTCCATACACTTCAGTGGGAGAATGGTTGGGGGCTTAAGTCATTCATCAATAGCCTACCTTGTTTAAGAAGAGTAGTTCCCTCTCCCAGCTGCAGACGCTAAGTGTGTTGAAGGAAAGAGAGGTGTTTTTATTTCATTCACTGGCTTCTGGGACCTACTCCCTAAAGGAAATTTCTTGTAATATTCTTCAAAGGAAGAACAATACTGCCTCAACCTGCAACAAAACAAAATTCACTAGGGAAGTCATTTCGTAGAAAGTTGTATCATCAATCATCATCATCGTGTGTATTTTCTAGATGAAAATCATAATAGGATTTACTAACTGTGGTAAACTGTGTGATAACATTTTGTCTAGAAGAAGGAATGATTTGTCCAAAGCAACACAACACAGAGTCGGGGTTGACTAAGGTAAAATGCCCAAGGCTCATGACTCCGGTTCCCCGATGTTCAGATTGTGTGCCCCATTCTTGTCTCAGAACCATGATTAGAACCCAGGAGCTCAGACTCCCAGTCCCAACTGCTCTAAACATTAGACCCCACTCCCCTCCCAGAGCTGGGAACAGAACCCAGGAGTCCTCAGTCTTAGACTCCACTGTCCCAATCACAGGGCCCATTTCCCTCCTAGAGGACCAGATCCAAAGCCCATAAGAAGTCAGTGGGACTATTCCCTTTTACTCCAGTAAGTTTGCAGTGGGACCAGAATCAGGGCTAGTTCCCAGGAGCATTAGAATAAACTCTGTGTGGAAGCTGAGTGGTGCTGGGGGTAGTGCGCTTCAGGGAGTGGGGTGATGAGCTCAGCTAGGAGCACTCTCAATTCTAAGACAGTGTTCACCCCATTACTCCAGCATGGAAGAAGGAGGCTGTGCTATTGGGACTGTGGTGGGATTCTCAGTTTGAGGCACACTTCCCCCTTAGTCAGTGCTGGAAGCAATGCCCCAGTGTAGCACCAGTGGGCGCTGATCTATAGGGATGGGCCTGGAGGGCTCTGTGGGATGTTCTCAGCTTCATTGATCCCAACGTCCCAGTTCAGCAGTAAGGGGCGCTGTACAGCAGGGAATAGGGTGGAGGACTCATTAAGGGACATTCTCCTCTGTGGGTCAGTGTAACCCCCATGCTCCAGACCAGCTCCAAGGGATGACATGCTGCAAAGAGCTGGGTGGGGTCTCACCTGGTGGGGCTCGGTTGTCTCTTGGTCCATGCTGACCCCTTGTGCTTCAGCAGGGCACCACGTGGCCCTGTGCCGCAAGGAGCAAGGTGAGGGGCTCAGCTGTGGACCATCTCCCATCAGAATGGCTGCTTAGCACAGTGCCCCAGCATGGCGCTTGGGAGACCTCTGCTGCAAAGGGTGGGTAGGGTGGATTAGCAGGGGGCGCTCTCCCCTTAAAGTTGGTGCTGACCCTCAGCAACTCATCACAGCGGAAGGGGACACTGTTTCTGGTGGATGTTATATCTTTTGGATGAGCTGTAAATGAAAGATCTTTCCTGACCACCGTGGCCATGAATGAGTCTATGGGGCTGTTTACAAGTGGAGGGGGCAGCAGTGGCACATACACACACATTGAGCATGGCTCATTTCCTCCTGTGGGGGGGACAGTCACTCACTCACTCACATGTGCACGCACATACAAACTGAGGATGGCTCAGTACCCCAAGCAGGTAGAGACAGTCTCTCTCTCGCTCTCTCTCTCACACACACACACACAGACTCTCACACACACACACATGCTGAGCAGGGCTCATTCTCTCCATCTGTGGACAACAATCTGTTGCCTGATCTATTGAATGTATCTTGATCATATTACCAGTTTACTTCCCCTATTCATCATTCTGAAACTTGTAGGTTCTTGTCCCAAGATCAGGCCCAGTATTATCAGAATCACTGTTCAGTTGGGAACCCCCATATGCATGGTTGCAACACTCACACTTAGGAGATTACATTATATGGAAAATGGATTTATTAACACAGTTAGGAAATTCACAAACACTCCATCCCAGCACGGCAGGTAGCCATAATACAGAAGGAGCTGAGCATCCCTATACTTACACTACCCCTTGCAAAACAACCCAAAGAGTTAAGTACAGAGGGGTAGCTGTGTTCGTCTGGATCTGTAAAAAGCATCAGAGAGTCCTGTGGCACCTTTAAGACTAACAGATGTATTGGAGCATAAGCTTTCGTGGGTGAATACCCACTTCGTCAGACT